ATGAAGGCCGCGCAGGCGATCCTCTTCGGAACGCTTGCACTCACGGGTGCTGCTGGGCAGTCCCCAGTCGGCAAGGTCATCGAGCTGCTGTCTGGCCTGGAGGCACAGATCCAGAAGGAGGGCGAGGCGTCGGCCAAGCTCAACAGCGAGAAGGAGGAGTGGTGCAAGGACGTGGCGACCAATCTTGGCTTCGAGATCCAGACTGGGTCCAGTGAGGTGGACAAGCTGAAGGCTGTTATCGGCAAGGAGGCAGCCACGATCAGCGCGCTGACAAGCAAGGTCGAGGAGCTCGGGGCGGCGATAGCCAAGGACGAGAAGGACCTGGCGGCCGCCACCAAGATCAGAGAGGCCGAGGCCAGCGACTTCGCCGCGGAGGCGCGGGAGCTCGCGGAGACGATCTCGGCGCTGCAGAGGGCCATCGGCGTCTTGCAGAGGGAGATGTCGAAGAGCGGAGGGGCAGCCTTCGTGCAGGTCCAGGGCGCGGCCTCGGTGATCCAGGCACTCCAGGCGATGGTGCAGGCCTCGGCCTTCAGCGCCGAGGACCGGGCCCGCTTCGATGCCGGTCGAGCCGATGCGGTCTGATGCCGGCCAGCCCGATCCGATTCAAGTCAGATATTTCGGGGGCGGAAAAGAGGGGGGTGATGACTAGGGGGGGGTGGATATCATGGCGGGGGCCATGATATTTCCCCAGATCTCATGGCGCCTCTTCTTATGTCATTACGTCCCTGGCCCCCCCGCTGGGCCGCGCACATGCCGCCGGTCATGATTTGCACCCCCTCCTCTTGGACACCCCCCTCTTGGCCGCTCCCGAATATTCCGACGTTCCGATGCGACCTGATGCTTGCAGGGGCGCCGTTGAGCATCCTGGCGCGGCCGATCCGACTCGAATTTGACTACTCCGTGCCGATGCAGCCCGACTTCGGGGCCTCGGAAGTCGACTCCAGCACCGAGATGGCGTGGCTCAGGCAACCACGTTTCTGCATGAAGGGACTTGTATTTCTTGGGTGCCGAAACCGAGTTTTGTGACCCACTAGGATCCGACGCACATGTCGATCGGATCCGATTTCCCGATGTCTTGCCGGCAGATCCCGTGAGGACGCCAGCACCCTCACCGCTTTCGTGCAGAGCTCGCAGGCGGCCGCCGACAGCGACGGCGAGCCCGGAGCGCCCGAGGCGGCTGTCTACGAGAGCAAGAGCGGCAGCATCGTGGAGGTCCTCGAGGACCTGCTGGACAAGGCGAACTCGCAGCTGGCCGATGCCCGAAAGAAGGAGGAGTCGGCGTTGCATAATCCGAGGGGCTTCGCCCGCTTCCGCGGCTCGGAACGTATGATCCGAAGGCACCGCCGACGGGGCAGGCGCTGCCGCTGGATAGGTGTCAGGGGGGAAAAAACACACAGACACAATGAATCGTCGATTCCCCAGAAAATATGGGAACATATGGAAGTGGGGGGAAGACAAAAACTCAGACCATATGGGGAAATACGGGGAATCCTGTTATTTGTGTCTATTGATTTGCGTGTCCCTGGGCCCCTTCAAGGTAGGAGGAGCATGGGATCCATCGTTGCCTTGTTGCGGCCTCGTGGCCTCGGGGCGGCCTCTGACTTCTGGGGGCCGACGTGGGTACACCTTGGGCAAACCTGGGGCGGTCTCCATGCCTCCTGGGGTGATCTCGAGCCTCCTGGGGGCACTTTCTGAGCCAGCCCCAGGTCTCGCTGGGCAACCCCGGGGGCGTTTTTTGGGGCCCCCTCGGGCCGGCCATTCTGTGGCTCTGTGAGGCCGCTTTGAAGCGAGCCTGCAACCTCCAGGGAGCAAGGCCAGCGACGAGCTACCCTCCGGTGCGGTGCGCTGACCGCCTCGGAGGCCCCGCGCGCGCCCCCGCGGGCGGGCGCCCCGCGGAGAGAGCAACGCTCAAAGGGGGGGGGGTGCGGGGAGCGCCACGGCGTCGGGGAGCCGACTGGCCCAGCCTCGGGAGACCTACCAGCCTGGAACAGATCCTGGGCATCGCCTCATCACGACGGCGATCTCAGGGATTTCCTCAGTTTCTGAGGGTGTATCCCTAAGATTGTCATCTCCTCTTGGCGTGTCAATCTTAGGGATAGGGATAGGTTCGAGGCTGGTGAGAGACCAGGCGTCAGGCTCCGGAGACGAGGCCCGAAGAGGACAAAACGCCACAGACATAAAAACTGTTTGGCGCTCCGCGCGGATTTCTTGGATCCGCGCGGGGCCTCCCCGGCCAGCGGTGCCTCTGGCACCGCCCTCTGGCGCGCTCCGCGCGCCAGGGAGGGGTGTCCAGCGCAGATCCAAGAAATCCGCGCGAAGTGCAACAAGCTTCTGTTTAGGCCAGTGTATCTTCTTCTCTCCAGGTTGCCTGGAGGCAGGGTCCAGGGCAACGCCAGGGGGGAACACCCCCAATCGCCCACTCATCGCCGACGGTGTCCCGATAGCCCACCCCGCCTAGGACCGTGCGGATTCGCTATCGGAGGCCTGTCGCCGATCTGTCGGCGATGTATCGCCGATTCCAGGCCGATGCTTCCCCCCATCGTTGCCTTCGGCAGGGAGGGCTGAGGGCAGGCTCAGTACAGAGAACATGTAGACCTTCTCGTACGGGTCGCATGCGGACCCATTCTCTGCAGGCCATGTTTTAGAGCGCCGGCGGGGATCCGGAGTCTGAGGGGTGCCTGCGGCCGAGCGAACCCCCACGGGGATGTCCGATGCCCTCGCGTCGACTGGACCCGCCGGGTAGGGTTCGCAAGCGGTTGCGGAAGCATCAGTCTTCAATCATTGCCGGAGCAAGTTTGTCGTATTTGGCAGTCGGGTCTGCAGTCGCTAAAGCGGTCTGGGTGTGGGAGTCGTTACATTGGTTTGCGCACCTTCAGGCATTCATCGATCCAGCCATGCACGCATCTGGGTTTCCATCCATCAACTGCTACATCGGGCCATATATCCATTCAATAATCTATCCAAGACGCAATCGGTGCACACTTGCCTCACGTCTGATTCATAATGGGCTCGCAGTTGACCAGCACTTCGCCCAACGTGGATTCACAACCGATTCACAATTGGCAGAACTAACACATATTTCCCCCCTTGTGAACCACGAACTGTTCTAAATTGGAATGGATGCTTCAAGTTTGATTTACATGTGCACTTACATTTGCACTTATATATTCATACTTACATTTACACTTATTTCCCAACAGTCCGCAATCTGTTTAACCTAGCACCACGACGCTGCCGCGCATGTGATTCGCGCCTGGCCCTGAATAAGGTACACGTGGGACGCTGCCAGTACGCATTTTATTCAGTATTGGTTCAAGTGTGACCCGCGATACTTCTCAAACGATTGCCCACGCTTGAACCACATCTGAACTCAATTCGCCCACGATGGCTTCACCGTCGACCCAAAGTCGATTCGCAGCCGCTTCGCAATCGATGCGCAGTTTTCGTCCACCACAGCAGGCGGAGGAGCTGCCGCAGGACCGGCCAGACGCCGCACAGTCGAGGTACCTCCAGCCTCCTCTCTCCTCCACCCTCCTCCTCTCTCCTCCTCCTCCTCCTCTCTCCTCCTCCTCCTCCTCCTCCTCCTCCTCCTCCTCCTCCTCCTCCTCCTCCTCCTCCTCCTCCTCCTCCTCCTCCTCCTCCTCCTCTCTCCTCCTCGCGACACCACGGCACGGCAGCAATCGCGACCCCGCGGCGCCTCCGCACCACGCCGCCAACCCGCCACGCCCCGACGCCCCGAGGCCCCTCCGCCCGCCGCCCGCCGGCCCGAGTGGCAGCAAGCATCCCGGCAGCCTGACCACCAGTCACACCCGCGCACACCATGGCATGCTGCGTGCACGACCCGTCTTGGGGCCGTCTTGGGGCCTCTCGGAGCCATCTTAGGAGCCATCTCGAGCGATCTTGCGCTATCTTGAGCCATCTTGGGCTCTCCGACGCGCTCTTGAAGCCATCTTGGGGCCAAGAGAGCCGTCCGACCGCTCGGGGAACCCTCCGTCCAGGTCCAGGGGAGGGGGTAGGGGGAGGGGTAAACCCCTCCCCAAGGGGGAAGAGGAAGGGGTGGAAGAGGATCGGTTCTAGACCACCTACGCCCAGAGGGCTGGTGGGACTGATGTCTCGATGGGGAGCGCAACACAGGAGCTCTCGCACCCCCAACCCCCAGCACCTGGAGGGGGACCAGGTCTCAGGAAACTGAGTGACGTCGGCACTTCAAGATAGCGGCCGACCTCAGAAGCATTCGTCCGCGGGGCCAGCGGACTTCGCCATGCTCAAGCAGTCTCTGGGCGACGAGATCGAGTTCTCCACGAAGGACATGGCGGCGGCCAAGACGTCTTCGGCCGCCAGCAGCGAGGCAAAGTCGGACGCCGAGGGCGCGTTGGCCGCGACGTCCAAGGACCTGGCGGAAGACGAGGCGTCGCTTGCCGCCGCCACCAAGGACTGCGCCTCGCACGCGGACGACTACGCCGCCGAGGTGCGGAGCCGTGCAGAGGAGCTCGCGGCGGTGCAGTCCGCGAAGAAGGTGCTGTCCGAGACCACGGGCGGCGCCGCCGGGGTCGCCTACGGCCTGGACCAGACCTCGGCGCCGTCCTTCCTGCAGCTGGGCCGGACCAGGTCCTCCCTGTCGTCCAGCGCGGACCTGGCCAACTTCGAGGCCGTGCGCTTCGTGCGGGAGCTCGGGCGCAAGTACCACTCGCCGGCCCTGGCGCAGTTGGCCAAGCGCATGACTTCGGCGGTGCGCTTCAGCGCCACTAGCGGAGAGGACCCCTTCAGCAAGGTGAAGGCCAGCTGGACAGAACCGGGGCGGCGTGAGAGGGCGTATTGATTCAGGAGGGAAAACACACAGACACACTTAATCTTCGATTCCCCAGAAAATATGGGAAAATATGGGCAGTGGGGGGGAAGACAAAAACACAGAAAACATGGGAAAATATGGGGGATCCTTTTATTTGTGTGTATTTATTTGTGTGTCCCAGGGCCCCTTCATTCATGTCTCCAGCGTTCTGGGGCCTCGCGAGGGGATCTCTTGTGACATGCTCGGGCCACTCCAGATCAAATCATCACTATCTTTTCCTGCATCCTTATCTTTAGTGGTGCTCGCTACCAGCATCTGTGCTGAACATGGTTAAGCATGCACTTATCCTTCTTCCCCCATTTGCTTATTTGTATTGACCTGTACCGCCCAGGGACTTATCTCTGACATGATCGCCAAGCTTGAGTCCGAGGCAGGCGCCGACGCTCAGCACAAGGCATACTGCGACAAGGAGACGTCTGACACCAACGCCAAGAAGGACGAGAAGAGTACTGCGATCGAGAAACTCACCACCAAGATCAACCAGATGTCCGCTGACTCTGCTGCGCTCAAGGACAGCGTTGCCACACTGCAGAAAGAGCTGGCCGAGCTCGCAGCCTCGCAGGTCGAGATGGACGCCCTGCGGAAGTCCGAGAACGAGCTATTCCTGACGTCGAAGAAGGGGCTCACGGAAGGCATCTCGGGGGTGCAGGTGGCGCTGAAGACGCTGCGTGAGTATCCCGTGTGCCTGCGGCGAAGTCGCCACCGTGCCAGCGAGCCACTCTGGGTGGCGACACTTTGAGCTCCCCTCACTCCTCCTCCTCCTCCTCCTCCTTCTCCACGAGGGATCGTGGGGACAGTTTCTTGTGAGCAGCATTTCTTGTGAGCACCCCTCGGGAACGTGCATCCTCTTGCTTTGTCCACCCCCGACGGGTTGGGGTCGTTAGATTTTAAGCACGGGCCTCCTGGCCCGCCCGCCCTGCATACCGCGGCCGCCAGATCCCCAGGCTCGCGATAATCCCTGGTGGTCCCGCCCCCCCCCCGCCTTGCACACCGCGGCCGCCAGATCCCGAGGCTCCGGATAATCCCCGGTGGTCCCGCCCCCCCCCCCCCGCCTTGCCTTGCACACCGCGGCCGCCAGATCCCCGGGCTCCCGATAATCCCCGGTGGTCCCGCCCCCCCCCCCGCCTTGCCTTGCACACCGCGGCCGCCAGATCCCCAGGCTCCGGGTAATCCCCGGTGGTCCCGCCCCCCCCCCCCGCCTTGCACACCGCGGCCGCCAGATCCCCAAGCTCCCGATAATCCCCGGTGGTCCCGCCCCCCCCCCCGCCCTGCACACCGCGGCCGCCAGATCCCCAGGCTCCCGATAATCCCCGGCGGTCCTGCCCCCCGCGCCGCCTCGCCCACTCTGCATATTGCGGCCGCCAGATCTCCGTTTACCCCGATGATCCCTGAGGGTGCCGCCCCCCGCGCCGACTCGCCCACTCTGCATACCGCGGCCGCCATAACAGAGCATAACAGAACGCACCACACCACACCACACCACACCACAGAACATAACATGTCATAACACCACACCGCCGAACAGAACATTTCCGAGCATACCATGCCGTATCATGGCAGACCATATCGTAGCAACACGCGCCATGACGAAGCAGTGCTCACCAAACAATAGCATCACATCCCATATCATTCAACATCATGTCAAATCCAGCATGCCATAACAACTCAACGCTTACCTGAACATACCAACACATACCATGCCGCATCGTCACACCGCATGGCATGACATATCATACCACAACACAACATAACAACGCAAACCATCACATTTCGGAGCATCCATACCATAACATAACGTAGCACACTGCAAACTAGCAATCCATAGCATCAACTACTACATCATGACAGAAAGCATAACAACATGACACATCAACACATCACACATCATTACATACCATGGTAAATCGTACCATGATAGAGCGCGGCATAAGGTGTTACACCATAGCAAAGCATAGCTGAGCATGACACCATGAGCTATGCCAGGCTTGGCCACGCAGAGCATCACATAACAACACACCTCACAACACAACATGACATAACAATGAGCGCGCGCACCTTCGGGATCACACGCCGAAGGTTTCGGTGAAGATCGCTCGCAGCAAAAGAATTATGATAGTTGGGGCGATGCATGCCCCTGAGTGCTAGGAGCTGTGATGAGGCCCTTTCGTGGACTTACAGGAGCACTACCAGGCAGCCCTTAGCATTACACCACGCCCCAACGCGCCAGGGGCCACGGTGGCGGATTACAGTGTGGAGGCCAAAGACCACGAGGCAGCTTCGGGTGCGGGCACCTCCATCATTGGCTTGCTCGAAGTATGCCTGTCTGACTTCACGAAGAGCCTCGCCGAGATCACCGCCGCGGAGGACGGCGCCGCGTCCGAGTACGAGGCTACCACTCGGGAGAACAAGATCGCCAAGACGGCGAAGGATGCCGACGTGAAGTACCAGGTCAAGGAGGCGGCTGGCCTCGACAAGGCCGTTGTGGAGCTCACGTCTGACCGTGCCGCGACCCAGGATGGGAGGGCCCCCAAAACAACCCAACGAGCACGAGCTCTCGGGCACACCCTGGGCGGCCTCCCCGCCGGCGCTGGGCTCCCTCCCGGGGCACCAAGGGGGTGGTGGTGAGGGGGTCCGGCGCTGGCGGAGAGAAT